TCCCAGTTTATGTCTCAAAGGATGGCAGATTATTTTCAGTTCAATTTTCAAATGAGCGACATTGTCATTTCTGTCTTCAGGGGAGACATAGAAGTAACATATTTCTTTTGATACGTTCCTGTTGACTGCTCTGTATCTTCTATTTAAAGCGAAAAGCCTTCACTTTGAGTGACAAGGCTTTAGTGTGGCACAGATTAGAGAAGTCATACATCTGTGTTCACACGGATTGTCTTCTCTGTTGAACACGGTGACTCAATCAAAGGCATCACCTCTTTCATATTCTTTTTACCCTGAAGCAGTGATCTGACATAAACCCAGTCACCATGTTTTAAAGCAGCTCAATGCTGTCAACCATGTTGGACTTGAGCTGGTCCTGTTTTCCAGTCCAATACCCACTCTTTCTTGTGTGATTTCCCAGGTTGATGGGAGTGAATAGTGTCCGTGTGACAGACTTCCACACGATTTGTTCAGAAATGACTTCAGTGTGTCAAAAACGTTCCCTTTTTATTCATAAATCCCCTGAGTGGACGGCTGATTAGTTGGGGAGAAGCAGCAGCCTTTACTCATGTTTGTTTGTCACTTTGTGTTCAGCCTCATATTAAGATGCCAGGCTCAGCAGGCTACCACAGGGCTTCATCATTGTTAAGTGCTCATTTCAATCCCGCTGATTTCTCATCTTGGTTTTTCATCTCTGTCTTTTCCTCTGTCTGTCTATTCCCCTTCAATACCTCCCTGTCTTTATCTTCACATCTTGATTCCATTTCTAAGAAAAGATAAACCCCTCTTAAAAAATGTTGTTCAAGGCCCTCGGATCTTATATCAGTTTGTCGCTACAATCACAAAGAGTAGGCCCTCTCAGCCCAGCATCCAGCATCTGGACATGATTGTCTCATTGAATTACAAAGTGCACCACCATCCTTGAACAGGAGACCGTTGTGGGGGGGGGGGGGGGGGGGGGGGGGGGGGGGGGGGGGGGATTGGGTAGGGAAATCCGCAGAGAATGGCCTGCCATATTGACTAAGGAGCCAGGGAGCTTGAGAGAGGCGCTTCAGCACATGTTCTATCAACCAGCAGCCATACAATCATACAGACATGGCAACAAAGGGGGGGAATTATACGGACGTGTTGTGATTCTGACCTGTAAACTGAGGAATTAAAATCAGACATAGAGGCTCAAAGAAGGAGGAGAGACTGGCGCATCCACTTATGCCGCTATGTTTCGCTGAATTCTCATGTATAGTTGTTATTTGCCCAAAATGCAAGCAATATGCAATCATGTGTGTGCATGTGATGTATCATGCGACTGCTTGCTGACGTGTAATTGTGTGAAGAGGGCTGCCTTATCGATCTGTAGAGCAAGGCCCCATCAATGTTTAATGCAGTCTCTCTCGCTTTTTCATTTCTCTGCCTCCCTCTCTCTATCCCTCTCTCTGTATCTGTGGAAACAGCCTACCATTTGGTATTGATCTGCCACTTGCTGCTAATGAGAAGGAGCTGTGCTTTCTGGCAATGGAAGCTAAGGCCCTCCGTTGAGCCTTGATTTTGGCTCGGCTTGTGACTTCTGGGTTTCGACGAGAACACTGGGAGTGTATCAGCTTTAGCGAGCCATACACAATGAGCCAAACCACATCCGTTCTATGTTTGAGAGTAACTAATATTCCGCGATGTAGTCACAATACATCCCCCAGCCTTGCAGCTCGTTGAATCTATACCAGGCAAGCTACCCTGACACCTACAAGCTATTGTTTTCCAATTGATTTATGACTTAGTCAACATTAAGCTCTCTATGTTAATAATTTTCCCACAGACTGAACTGCTAGTGAACCTGGCAGTGTTTAATTTATTGGAGCTTGCAGGTGGAGCTGACATAGCAGAATATGAATGCAGGAGAAAACGCTCTGGGCTACCCTCCAAACATAAGGGACTACAGCTAGTTGTTGTCTTATATCTTCCAAATGACTTGGTAAAAACTGATGGGAGAGATAGTAACAGGATGTGCGGTCAGACTTTACTGCGATTGGAATCAGGGAGACATGGAAAGGGAGGACACATTGTTTAAGTGTGTCTTATAGGCTAAGCTGAGGAGTAATGGAGCGTTAAATTCCTGGATCCCACATACAGTGAGGAAAGATAAGTCAAAGGAAATATGTTTTTCAACTACAGTACTTAAAATGCATATTTACAGTTACTAGACAACACACAGAAAAAGTTGTTTAAAAAATCTATATATACAAATCAATGTATCTGTGCCTAAAAGATGTTCTCATTGAAAAATGACCAGAAGCCAATTTGACAATTTCTCCTATAAAACGGTAATGATATGTTGCTATGAACCTAATTGTTTTTCGCAGCTTAGGTCATTTAATAAATTATAATTTCAACAATAAACCTGAATTTGCCATAAAAGAGCTGGCTTATCCAATTAATGTGGGTTGCTTGTTTTAAAAGGAATCTCTTCAAATCCACTTATGATTAAATGGATGAATGGTCCACATAACAGCTAATTTAAAACTCACACACATACACGTACACAAGGGACATTTTCCAAATCCCCAGTGCCAGTGGACAGGTGTGTGAGCCTTGGCATGACGGCTGTGCGAGTCCCACCCTGTTGCTAATAACCACTTAGCATACTCCATTCACTCATCTGCTACTCTGATATTCTGCTAATGGTGGACATTAGGTCACATGATATGGCTCATCCAGCCCTCCCAAGGGCCTTTGACCTTTTTTTTGCTTCCTACCCTCGCCATCTTGCACCTCCTTTCCCCCTTCCTTGCTTTTAAAAGGAAATGGGAAATGGCCTACCAAGTGCCCGTGTGATTTGACTAAAGCTTCTGTGATTTCCCCTGAGAAAGGGTTGGCAGTCCCCACAACGCTGGCTGGCGCTTAGGGTTCTTTCATGCTCCTATCTCCACAGCTGACAGCGAGACGCACATGCAGGCAGGCAGGCAGGCTGGAGCTAGCTGGCTGACTGTGGAAACTAGACAAGGCAAGGCTGATCTTAGGGAAATTGAAATACTCTGATGGAAGCTGGTGTGAACAAGGCTGTCACTGTAGGTGTACACAGAAAATTGCTCTCTGAGTTGGCTGGTGAATGTGTGACTGCGTGTGTATATGTGTGTGTGTATGTGCTCAGCATGTGTGTCCGTTTGTGGCTTAATGTGTATCTGTGTAAGTGCTTGTGTGTGCAGCTGAATTACCTAGGCTAATTGGTTTCATGTCTGAGGACATTTTCTCCCAGTAAGTGGAGATTGAGAATGAAAAGCCTCTTTCTTTCCTACCGGTGGCTTGTCACTCATCCTCTGTGTACTTGTTTTTTACCAAGACCACTTGAACTGCAGATGACGGGCTTCGAGTGCTCCATCATTTGGAATGATTTCCAAATCACTGCAAGTTCAGTCAGATTCCAAGTAAGCAACAGCTGCTGGTGTGTGCTTCCTGTGGAGGAGTAGGTACAGGGAGGGTGCTTAGGGCTGAAACCTCTTCTTGAACAAGGACAGCGTCTGCTGGTTGTGTCTTTGCATTCAATCAGAGTGAGATTTCTCTCTTATCAACGACACGTGTGGGCGTCGCTAGCCAACCGTTGCTGTGATAGTGGAAGACTTCCAAGCCAAAGACACCAACCGCCGTTGCTCTGAAAATCCCCACACAACCTGCTTATCTACCAGAGATCACCCAGACATACCATCCACTCCTCTGTCTCTGTTTTTTATCTGTCTGGCCACAACAGACTCTACTCAGGGCATGTTGTGGCAGGGGACATAAAAAAAACATGAAATATGCCCTGGTTCACTCTCAATAAGAGGGAAGGTTTAAGCCAGACATAAACTGTCAGTAACCGGGGAAATTATGAATCTATCATTACACTGCTAAGGCCAACATGTCATCCAGTCCATCACTCTATAAATCTATCTGTGTGTGAGAGAGAGGAGCAGGATCGACCAGTCATACTTCTCTCTTCTTTCCACTATCAGGTTTCCACATTTCAGTCTGCCAACAGGGCAGATATTAATCAAAACGGGGATGACAAACTTCATTGGGGAACTGCCAAACTTATTTGTCTAAGATGTGTCACTGAGGATTAGTAAGAGGTAATCTTTGTCTTATATTACATAGACATGGGGCCAGATAAGACACCTTGTGTAATACAAGACGCAAGTGAGATAGATAAATTATCTAAAACTGTTCCCCTATGACAGATTTACTTTCAGAGACCATAACTTTTTATTGTCTCATTTTTGTTTGCAACCAGAGCGCGATATAGTAATAGAAGGTGCATCTTGAGATTCAGTAAAAATGCTCAGAGAAACACAAGACATCTTTGCCCCTTGTCAATAAAGCTCTCTCAATACTGCACATTTTGGAAACATATATATTTTATAACCGACACAAACAGTATTGGGATCTCTGCCAAACTAGTTTCCATTGTATGTCCCCACCATAGACTGTATATCTAAAGGTCCCCACTCAGAGTAAACACACTGCAAAGGCCTCGTCTTGGAGGGCTCCCTCTGCATTTGTGAATCCGTTTTTCTGTGTAAACAATGTGACACATTTGAGCACTAACATACAATCACATGCAAACCCATGCTGTGTTACTCATGTGCACTCAGACAAATACAACCACATCCACTCCAATGCATGCACACGCCCGCACACAGACAAAGGCAGGATGCACACACTGGTTGTCCTGCTCACACAGAGAGAACACAATACAAAGCACAGCATTTAACAGCATGACAGAGGCTCTCAGACATTCCTTCCAGCAAAAGTGCCAAAGCTTTGTTTCCATGTCTCTTGTCTTAACAGAAGTCTTGCAGAGATGGATGAAGCGCTGTGAAAGGATTCATCTCCTCTCTGTGCATCAATGATAGTGTCAAGTGATCACTGGGGCTTGAATGCAGTTCAACTCTGTGGAATGATACTCAAAATAGCTTTCCTGAGGCTAACCACTGTCTTCCTCTCTCTCTCTCTCTCTCCCTCTTCCTTCGCTGCAGAGACCGTGATGGACACTCGGGTGGCCACAGCTGAACTGGGCTGGACAGCATATCCAAATTCTGGGGTGAGTCGGATATTGCTAGGACTTAAGCATGCTGGGTAAAAAACTGTGCAAACTATTTCTGATGGGGAAAAGATACGGTGATATGTAACGTGAAACACAGTGCACGTACAGTTCTACAACCAGACAGACAAATAGGCAGGAAGGCATTCAGGATGGGAGTATAGACTTAAGTAGTGCCCAATGTAGCTCCTATTATGGGTATTATTTTCTCTGTGTCCTAGCTCATAATGACTTAATGACATAATGGGCCCACCTAAGCCCCAGAACACAGTACCTAAGTCCCTGTAAATGGAGGCTGGGGGATACCATAGACATAATGATACTGTGATGATACATTTATGCAGGGAAGTGGAGGTATTAGGATGAAACGGGGGAGGAGGAGCTAAGAAGATGGAAACACTCAGGGCTTTGTCAGATTTTTGGAGAACTATTTTCAACATTCAGGTAGTTTCATGCACATGAAAGCGGTGGAAATGGAAGAAAGTGCAAAGTCATCTGAATCGGAACAGGTTTCTTTTTTTTCTGAAAGAATCACAGTATCAAAAGTATGATTGCCCTATTACACTAATGGATTTAAAGACCATTTTAGGGCCTTGTTCTCTTTGCCCTAATTCAATATTTTAAGCTCCATAGACTAACACTGATAGCATGAATCTGGCAAGAGCCATCCAGGACAGACAATGACTCTTTCCTTCATTTTCTGGGTCTGTGGGTCTTTACGAGGCATTTAACACGCGTGTAAAGGGAGGTTTTATTGCTCTTAAACACACCTTTGCCTCTGTTTAAATATTGGAGAGTGTGGCAGTCCACATTTCCTTTAGTCTCCCTAAAGGAGTATTAACTAAAACAACCTGGACCATGGAATAACCAGAGAGATTGTTTATGTGTGTACAAATGTATGTTTGTGTGTATATATTTTCACTCACCAAATATATTTTTGTAATATAATTGTTTTCAAATTTAAATGATTAGTTGGGTCCACACTTACATAATTTAAAAGTATGCAATGGAATAAACATGATTTTTAAATAATGAATCAGCCTCACACTGTCAATTTTCTTTTGTGAAGAGGAAGTATCTAGTAACTAGAGACATCTACAGTTCTATTTCCAGTAAAGCCTGTTCAGTTCAGCATGCCTCCAGGCACACAGAGCCTCCTGTCTGTGTTGAGCAGAGTTTTTTAAGCTTCTCCTGGTGTAAAGGTTCAGGCACGGAGAGACCTGCTGTAGGGAGAATACACTCATACCACTCAATGGAAGAACTGAGCATGCTTTGACCTTGCTGGAAGTGTGTGAGTGATGCTGGGTAGAAATTCACACACACACAAAATACAAATTCACCAAATGTTATATAATGGACATATTGCATGTAGTCATGGCGAAAGGTCAATCTCATATCCATGGCTGTAGGCTATAATAAGGTGAACATTGGTGTCTATTTAAAGATACAGAATGTGTTAGCCATGTGAATACTTGCATATCTACACTTACATATTTTCATTTATTTAAATTGTACTGGATTTGTTTGTATTTGTAAGTGGTCAATTTATTTGTCTTTGCCTGGTAACTGCCTCTCTAACACACACAACAAGAACAAGGGCACACTCACACAAGAGTTGTCCCTTTGCTATTAAATACAACTCATGACTTTCTTTTTGTAACGTATCCTTCTGGAGTTTATACGAAGTGTGTGTGTGTGTGTGTGTGTGTGTGTGTGTGTGTGTGTGTGTGTGTGTGTGTGTGTGTGTGTGTGTGTGTGTGTGTGTGTGTGTGTGTGTGTGTGTGTGTGTGTGTGTGTGTGTGTGTGTGTGTGTGTGTGTGTGTGTGTGTGTGTGTGTGTGTGTGTGTGTGTGTGTGTTTGGCTGACCTGGGGGGGTTAATTTTGAAGGATTGCAGAAGCAGTGTCATTAGTTCCAGCGGTGTAAACACAAGGACATATCAGGGTTGGCCATGTGAATGTATAATGGTGCGGCAATATGCGGATGCACACTCCCATGTTTGCCTCTGCCGTAGAGAAGGGCTCAGAAGGAAAACAGATGTGTACAGCAAACAATATTCTTTAATAATGTACATTTTCGCTCCGTCTTTTTCTGTTGTTTCATTTCAGTTGGATATATTCCACTTTCCCCTACCATTACTTTTTTCTCTGTGTCTGTCTCCCCTTTCGAGTCATTCCTGACTTTCTTTCTTACCTACAGTCTGTTTTCCTTTCATGCACACCTACCTAAGGACAATACAGAGTCTCCTAAAGACACATGCCCTCAACCGTGCCATGTTTTCACGTGACGGATCTAACATTAAGGACAACACACACACACACACACACACACACACACACACACACACACACACACACACACACACACACACACACACACACACACACACACACACACACACACACACACACACACACACACACACACACACACACACACACACACACATATAACACAACCTGTTTTCTGAAACCTCATTTAAATGATGAACCTGGTCTTTCTTCATTAGGCTTTCAAAGAAAATCTAACGAACTATTTATGTAAAAAAACCTCTTTACCCAAGTTTGACCAAACTTTAAAGTTATCTCACTTTAGTTGTGGACATAAATGTGTTTTCTCACAGTATCTGGTTTCAGTGTGAACAATGTATGTACAGCAAAGTGAAGTAGGAGAAGAGCAAGTGTTTGTTCTCTAGGTGTTTTTAAAGAAATGGTGCAAAAGGTGTTACGTGCGAGAAGAAGAAGTCTCTTTTTCTCTTTTTTTCCTTATACTCTTCCCTGTTTTAACTTGAAATGTTTTTATGTTGCCAAAACAGGGTAAGAACCTGGAAATAAAACACTTTTTTTTAATTGGCCAAAACTTAAAACAATTTAAAAAGTGATTTTTCTTCATATTCTTTAATGACTTGGTATGGGAAAAAATGTGTTTTGCTGGATGGCGTTCGGGGGAGTGTGAAGTGAGTGGGGAAGAGAGGAAAGGGCAGAGAGTGTGGGATGAAAGGACCTGTGAGAAGAAATGTAGAAGTTATGTCGGAGCAGCTGAAAAGGGTTGCAGGATCAGGAACAGGGTTGAAAAGGGAGGGATTAGGAAAACTGGAGCGAGAGGGTAAGAGATCAACTTTGTGTGAACAGGACTAAAAAAAGGCAGCCGTGCAGAACTTCAATATGGGTGTGCGTGTGGAAGAGAGCTTGGGTTAACTTGTGACTCTGGGAGGTCACAGACAGAGTTCAGGCTTTAAGGTGAGAGCCTTGAGGGGAGGGGTGTTGGGGGGTTAAGGGGTATTAAGGGCGGCGGTGGCTGCGCTGACATAGGCTGTGGGTGTCGTCAAGCGTGGAGAAACAGGGCAGGTTGGTGAGGGGCTTGGGAAAGAGAGGGATAAAGAATTTGCCAAGTGAGCAGACAGGGGGAGAGGAGGACAAACACCGGGGGACACAACAGACATGACAAGGTACTGGGAGTTAGACAGAAGCTGAAAGATGAAGAGACTTTAGAGAAATCCCTTTGGTTGGAACAGGTGCATAAGAAGGGATTAAGAACAGAATGGATCTAACCCTGACATGCTTGTGTTTCTCACTTTCTTCTAATTCCACATGTGGACTTGTGTGTGCTCAGGTTAATGTTCAAGAGCCTGAGTTCTGTGTTGCAAATCTGCGTCTGCACATTTGAGCGGGCACAAGTGCTCTTTCTGGTGGTGGTGACACATTTTTGATGGTGCCCAGCCTGGGCTTAAGCAAAGCTCCTGTGAGCGTTAACTGGACAGGTGCAGTACACACTCAGCGATTCCTAAAGAGCACAGATAGATCCATAACAGGCATCTCACCATCTGCTGACCAGACTCAATACACCTCAATTATTCATATCCTGACAGACAGACAGGCAGCAGCTCAGCCGGCATAAGGAAGCACAGGAGGGAAAAGTAAAAGGAGGAAAGTGAAGAAGAAAGAAAGAGGCTGATTGAATGTAGATAATAAGAGTCAGAGGGAGATGGAGAGGAAAAAACACGAGTGAAAAAGAGAGTGAGGGATGGAGGCGAACTTTGAACCTGCGAAGCTCAAGCTGAAATGGAATGAGAAGAGAAAAACGACAGTGACTCATGCTGGCTGTGCTTCAGCGGCCAGGTGAGAAGAGTGCCTTCATTACACGCACGCACACGCACACGCACACGCACACACACACACACACACACACACACACACACACACACACACACACACACACACACACACACACACACACACACACACACACACACACACACACACAGATAGAAAGAGCACACATGGTTAAGAATTGACCTAAACATATTACCCTTCACAAATGCTACAGAAACGGTTACAAATTAAAATGAATGTACTCGCACACATAAAGGAGAAATGTTTATGTCACTGGCATACCTGTATCATTTTGCTTCCTCAGTTATTTAGTGTGATTTGGATGTGTAGCAAAACAACTGAATTTCCTCCGAGCTTAGACACAGGCATCTCTGCTCAGCTTGAAGACAGAATAGTGAGGCAATGAACCGCCTAGATCAAATTGCATCCATCGCTTTCTGTCTGTGAGTTTGGGCGTTCGTGTGTATGTTTTATGTGATTTTGTTAGCCCCCCCATGTCACATTTTAGCTCTGAACATTTGTTTTCGAGGTACGATTGAATTTACATTCCAAATCATTTGAAAGGAAAACATGAACAAGACGGCAGCATCTACATATTTAGAGGATTGCAGTCGGGGTGAAACACAAATAGAATTTTTCTTTTTTGTTTTACATTTTCTTCCTCCAATCTTTTCCACTCTCTTCAACTATTGATTTCCGTCCTGTGGATTTCCTCTCCAAATTTCACAAGTAACAATTCTCTTGGATGAATAAGGAGCCAAGGAATTTTTTTGATCGTCAGGGAATAAATAAAACAAGAAAGGGATGAAACCATGGAAGAAAGGATGGGTATATGAGTCTATCCTTAATTTGGTATGAATTTGGTGTGCGAAGGAGTGGCTGGAGGCTGG